AAGCCTCCGCAGCTCTCTGCCTATCGGCCTCCAAGGCGATCACAGCCTCCTCGGCACGGCGCTTCTCCATTTCATTAGCCTTCAGAGCCTCCTCATACCGTTTCTTAGCTACCTGTATGGCGATATCGGCGTTGTACTTTTCGGCCTCTACCGCCTTTGCAGCTCTCTGCTTCTCGGCCTCCAACGCGATCACAGCCTCCGCAGCTCTCTGCTTTTCAGCCTCCAAAACTTCCTCAGCTCTCCGCTTCTCGGCATCCATGCCCACCAGGGCCTCCTCAGACTTGGGTTTTCTAGTCTGTTGGGCGTTTGACTTATGAGCTTCGACGTGTATCTTGGACGTGTAGGGTTCTTTCTCTGTACCTTGATGGGTTTCTAATGGCTTCTTTTTCTGTTGTGTCGATGATTTCTTGTTTATCATTTGTTTAGTATTTAATTTGTCTGATGGCAGTGTGCTGAGACAATCATTTGCTTTGTTTTTTTCTTCTACAGCTATGTTTGCATCTTTTTGCGTATTGTGATACTGCCTTGCTAGTTGTTCTGCACGTTCAAGGGCCTCCTTTTTCTCACTATCCACCTTTTTTAGTTCTTCTATTAGTTGCCCCGCATTGAATTGCGACTTGCGCAAAAGCTCCTCATGAGCCTGCTCGAGTTCTTTTATACGTTCGTCGCGCATTTTTAGCTCAAGCTGGAGTGTGTCAACGAGGCTGTCTTTCCTTCTTGAACTGACGTAGCTGCTTGTATCGGAGTCAGAGCCTGCATGGGAGTCGTCGTGGCTCAAGTAAGGTGAAGCAGGATCATCATAAGTGCCTGTAGGCGAATCGCCTCGGAAGAAGCTGAGCATTTAATGTTGTCCACACTTTAATTAATTGGAAGTTTTCTATTAAAAAAAAAAAGGCGGTCAAATGGAATTAGGAATCTGTTGTGTAAAATTACAGTGCGACACCAGTTTTGTGATTATTACCGTAACAAAAGCCAAAAACACGTAGCATATCCATTGTCGGCAGTTATGCAGGCACAACAGACAAATCAAGTGAGCAAGTTCATGAATATAGTGCTAGCAGAAAAACTAAAACGCGAGGCCGCACGCATCATTTGCTTTGATATATACGTGTAGTTCTCTTTCTTCGTTTGGGATCTCCAAGTTTACTGGGTTCGCCATTGCCGTCCCTTAGAGCCTTTTCACCCACGCATATCTGGGTGAAAAGAGTGCTGGTGCCCCACGAACGCCCAGCAGCTGTCACTAGCTGCGGCTTTCACAACAAGTGAAATGAAAGGCAGGGCACCAGGCTCACCACACAGTCTCCATCTAATGTTGAGACATAAATTTAAAGAGGTGCCTTAAATGAGGAGGAGAGAAACAAAAAGAAGTAACAACGCATAAGCTGCACATGTGGCATTGTAATCCGCCCTTCTTCACGTGTAGAGCAGGCAGACTTTTCCACACTTTATAAAAAATTTCAAGAAAACAAAAACAAAACAAAACAAAAAAAACCATTAACCATTAAAAAGAAAAAAAAATGTAAAACTTTTCAAAGATTTTCCAAAATATACATATATGTGTGTACATATGTTTACAAATTATTCAGAGAAACTCTTCTCATATCCAGATATTGCTCTTCATCCGAAGGCAATATATATATATATATATATATATATATATATATATATA